ATCCAATATAACTTTTATCCCACTTATGAGTAGATAACTTTGGAATTCTGCATTCCTTTATGAAGTATCTTTTTTCAATGTGTGTGTGTATATATTTAAGTCTTCTGTGTCTGTGTGTGTGTGTATGGATAAATGAGGTTGAAACATTCGTACTGTTTATATCTATTGGACTTATTTTTTTTATTACAACTTGATTCCACACTGTATTTTTGCTACAAGTATGGAATTTTCAGCATGGATATCGGTAGCCCAAATTTTTCAGGCCGACCGTCGATATCAAGTGTGCATTGGCAGGGGATCAAACCTCGGACCATGTGCATGATCGTCGAGAGCCCTAACCACTGTGCCACCGACGCACACATCTTCAGCATACAACTGTTCCATGTCTGTGCAAAGTTCTACATGGCACAATCAGTTCACGTTGGAAAGGAAACTGAGATGATTCCATATTAGTTTGTTTATTCTATGTATCACATAGTCAGTGAAACAGCAGTATTATTTACTGGATAACAGAGTTTCAAACAAAATTTATTCATTGTTCATAATCATCATTTCATCATATCAAGTTGATTGATATGCTTATGAGCAATAGTTTGTGCTCGGAACGTCATCAGTTAATATTACCGTACAACACCGTGTGATTTATGAAAATAAAGTCGTATCCATAATGGAGTTATGGGTGGATAGGTGTTGAATCATTCCTATTACATGTAATTGCAGTTGATTCGATAAGCAAAGCTTCCGTTATCAATCTCTCCCTCCACCTTGTGACATCAGATTTTAAAATTACTGTCATCTTATCCCATTCCTGTATTGTACGGTTGCATGTAGTAAGTGCTATAGCTGAACTATTCTCTAGATTACTTATCTTATTCCGATCAACCAATCTAGATTTCGCTGCCAGGTTTTTATGCTCAGCTAGTCTGACCCATGGTATTTAACCTGACAATTATTCCAGCAGACAGGGTATTAGATAAACTTAATTGTTTTGTTTTAAACTGAGAAATTTCTCATGGTAGTGTATTCAACTCACTTGTAGGTATGATTGTTGAATTTTACTGAATCATTCCTAGTAGACTCTTACTTCTTTTATTATCATCCTTTTTGACTGTTAATCAGGTCGGCTTCATAAGCATTACGGTGGGTACAAAGAAAGTATTCACATAAAAGTGTATCAACTTAGACTGTCTCATATCTTTTTATAATAACAAGACGAAAGTATACATTGAACCAGAAGGGAATTCATGGTATAAGACAGCACAAATGTGAATGGTAGTTATTAAGGCGTGTGTCCAATCGATTTTAAAACATACCTGCTTTGGACTCGGTTACATGAAACAGTTTCCTCAAATGTATCTGTCTACAAGCCATACTTATTGTTTGTGAAAGAAGGGCTTTAGAATACTATCCATTTGGTCAAGTTGTAAGTATGTGAAGGTTAGATTCAATCTTGAGACGGATATCTTACTTACTGTCATTCAAGTGCTTAAGCCCATGAACAATTGATATAACAAAAAAACTTGTGCACTTTGTTGGTAGAGTATAATTCCATTATGGGTAAAATTTTTATTTTGATAAACTCTCACAGTGTTGTTGTACAGTAATGTTTACTGATGACCACGTTTCCGGCACAATTTATTGCGGCTCATAATCATATCAAGGCAGTCACTCTCACAACTTTCTAACTACGTTTATATAATTCCATTATCATCGCTTGACTTGATTGGTATTAGTATTTTCCATATTTCTGGTCTGAATGAACAATCATTCCTATTGCACGTGTTTGGTTTGGACTCGATGAACAAGGATTCTGTAATCAAACTCTCTCTCCAACTACCTATCTTACTTTCTTAGAATTTTGAACCTCTCCCATCCTATTGTGTGGTTGTGTGTTAATGCATGCAGTGCAATCGCTGAAATGTTTTCTAAATTACTTATTTTCTCAGGGTCAACCATTCTTACCTTCACTAAATTCTTATGTTCTGACAATCTAACTACACCCGATCTACTAGTTTGATTCACCTATATAGTTAACCTCATTCATAGTCATTGCAAGGTATTTTGTTAATTATATTATTTTGTTTAATTGGGTCCACTGGGTCCATTTACCTACAGAGCTTCTCCTACTTGAGTGAGTTTGTAGGTTTGAATGCCACCACCCTAATTCCTGTTTTATTAAGAATCCTAAATAGGGTCTCAGATGTACCCTCCTTATATGGTAGATGACAGTAGACGACTTATCGCTTATTTATGTTATCACTACTAGTTTCACAATTATTTTTATTTTGCTTTTGGCCTTTTCTGATCTTCCTAATGAATTTTATAGGACAGTTATTTGATATCATGAACAATAACTCCACCTAACTATTATTATTATTATTATTATTCTCTTGGGTTCCAGGTGAAACATAGACCTTCAGCAACATATTTCCATTTCACTCTGTCCTCTAAAGTTCTTTTTAGCTACCTCCACGATTGCCCTTGAGCTCCCATCTCTTCTTTATAAAATCTTCCCAATGTCATCCTAGGCCACATAACTCGCCGATTTCTTGTTCGAGTTCCGTTTGAAAGTGCGATTGCTTTCAGTGGTCTTCTCGTTTTTAACTCATCAGCATTTCCTTGTAGATATTTGTTCGTCAGTTCGTTTCTAGAGTTCCCTGTAGCTGATTCTTTCTGACCATATAATATTCCGTATAAAGGCAGCAAACGGAGCTGTTGGCGAAAGTCTGTGGTCTGTTGGAGATGCCTTTGTTGATGCGCGTCATCTTTGAACCACAAAGAAGTATTGATTTGACACTAGCGTTGAAAAAAAACAGCTAAATCTTTTTCTTTTCTGTGATTCCAGCAGATTTCCACACACTGATTTTAAAGCAGTGAGTATCTGCCTTGCTTTTCTGAGCCTACCTGCCCTTGACAACTTCTTTTTTGTCGCCTGTGGGTTGAGACGTTGTTCCCCAAATAAGTTAAAGCAGTGACTCTCTTCAAATTTCTATTGTTATTAGTGATTGTTGCTTGTCGTTGTCTCGTTGCTTTTATTGGTTAAGTGTCTTTATCTATCTGTCTCTGTCTGTTTTCGACATAGAACTTTGCACAAATGTACGGAAGTTCAAGTCGCCACACTCCGTGTAGCACGCGAAGCAAGAGAAGAAAGTACAAGAAAAGCATAATAGAGACAGTGAGCAAAGGGGTGAGACAAAGGAGTAATAACGAAGAACAAAACAGTTTCATTGGAGATCATAAGTCACAAGGAGTGGATGCATCTGCGCTAGCCACTGAGAACGATTTTGAGCCATGTCACCAATTGTTTCCAACCATAGATTTTTACCGTCCCGAGGACCCCAGTCTGGAAGTCTACACCTTCCTACGTGGCTTAGACCAACTGTTGTGGATTTCATTGACTGGTACCAAGTTTTTGTTTGACCGCCGCTAGCTTTTTTCCAGCCTGACTCTGTATTCGCTAACGTTGCTCGTCGAGGGAGGCGATGGCTCGGCATACGTAACACATGTGTCTTTATCAGCTTTGTCTTGTCTATGTTCATTTGAAGCCCTGTCTTTGTTGCTTCTTCGCTCAATTTGTTGGTTTTCGCCTCCAAGAGACAGGAGATGACCCCTTAAGAAAACCTCTTGCTTCAGTCTGGGCGTTCAGAGAGTACTTCAGCCTTATCACAAACTATAAGAACTTGTGTGATTCCCAGAATATACCTAGTTTATGAACGAAAGCTGCTACCTTGACGTGGTGGTTGGGCTTGAACACCGCAATGTTCTAATCAAGCTATACTAGCTGAAACTTATGTCTCTTGAGGTCCTACCATGTCAGAAAGGTTGTTTGGATAGCAGTTAGACAAAAAGCAACTGCCCAATCCAACATTAGGATACGTATAAACTCACAAAATATCATGCCGGATCGGTCGGGGCTCGGATTAACAACGACCGCGCTTCCTGCTGCCGTGTCACAGGGCAGGAGTGATAAATATGCTACTGAGACACATCAAACAATAAAGAACGAACAAAAACAGGCCGCGTGTGACCGGCCTGGCTCAAGCAGTTGTCCCCTGGGCTCTGTGGTCACGCAACCAACTTCCACGGGGTGTGAGCAGCCGGGAAGTAACAATCGCCCTCACAATCCGAAATGCACACGAAACCTGTCTAATATTCACTCATCTTTGTCTTCATTTTCATCTCTATTATCTTGCCTTCCTTCCACTGATGTAACTCCTTACTTGATAGCTCTTCACTTTCACTCCACTCTGTGTTGACTAAAAACGATGGAAGTCAAAAAACCACCACCGTCAGCCTCTTAAAGCCACGCCACCAATTTTATATAGGAGCATTTAATGTTAGGACACTTGGCCAAATAGGACAACAAGAATCACTAGCCAAGACTCTGGCGTCCCGAACCATTGATGTATGCTGTGTTTCAGAAACACGCATATCTGCCTTCATTCAACCCTTTCAATTATATTTAGAATTTATAGTTATTTTAATAAAATCAAATCAATCCAACAGTCTAATTATGTATGTGATGGATGGATGGTGCGTTTAACTCCAATAAAAGTAACTTCGCTCTTTAAAAGGTTTTAACTCTACCCATTAGTCTACTAGTCTATGCATTTCTACGTATTGGTACATATAACATGGTGTCTTTATATATATAGAACATAGGGCTTCAAGCTCTAAGCTTTGAAGTTTCAGTAGCAGTGGGTTTTTTTACAGGTAGGAGTAGGGGGGCTCGCTAGCCTCACGGCCAACCTCCCCTCTTTACTGGTCTTACTACCCTGGCTAAGTAAAGTTTAGTAGTTTGTCGACAGAAGGAGTCCAACCCCCCTGTACTATATGGTTGGTTGGTGGAGTATTTTTCTCCATGTTTTGTTGTTCATCATCATCATCTGTCTCATCAATATGTCGCGCTAATGATGATAACGGAGAGATTTTGTTGAATTCAGTTCAATTCATTTCTTTCTCTTGTTTTTTTTTTTGCTTCCCTATATTATTTCAATCAGGTAACCCAAGTTGAAGAACCTTCAAAATATGGTGTTGTTGTCTACGATCAAGCCACTGGACGGGTAGATCGTTTTGTAGAAAAACCAATTGAATTTGTTGGTAATAAAATCAATGCTGGTATATACCTGTTAAATCCTAGTGTTATCGATAAGATACCTGTAAGTTCACCTTTTGTTGTGTTAGTGATGTATATTACAGTTATTTTTGCTCCTGTATTATTACTGTTTCACTGTAATGTAATGCTCTCACTAATATTGACTGCTTACCGGGTAGAGTTTTGCCTAAAGTTCTAGTGAGAAGTGGTTACCACTGAGTGTGTGTGTATGTGAGGACAAGTGATTGGCTATATTTCAATAGTAGACTGAGGTTATAAAGCATTGGATTCCACTACAGTGGGTAGAATGAATGACCGATAAACGTCTGTCTGTTTTCGACATAGAACTTTGCACAAATGTGCGGAAGTTCAAGTCGCCACACTCCGTGTAGCACGCGAAGCAAGAGAGGAAAGTACAAAAAAGCATAATAGAAACAGTGAGCAAAGGGGTGAGACAAAGGAGTAATAAATAAAAACAAAGCAGTTTCATTGGAGATCATAAGTCACAAGGAGTGGATGCATCTGCGCTAGCCACTGAGAACGATTTTGAGCCATGTCACCAATTGTTTCCAACCATAGATTTTTACCGTCCCGAGGACCCCAGCCTGAAAGTCTACACCTTCCTACGTGGCTTAGACCAACTGTTGTGGATTTCATTGACTGGTACCAAGTTTTTGTTTGACCGCCGCTAGCTTTTTTCCAGCCTGACCCTATATCCGCTAACATAGCTCGTCGAGGGAAGCGATGGTTTGGCATACGTAACACATGTCCTAACCAGCTCAGTCTTTGTAGCTTCACGACTTCGTCGATTGATTTCCCCTGTTTACCTAGAACTCTACGCCTAACCTCCATGTTGCTCACCTTATTATGCCACTTTACACGGGAAATAGAGCGCAGGCGCCTATGATCAAAGACAGCTAGTCTTTTCATGTCTTCCACTCTCAGTGGCCAGGTCTCACTGACAGCCATAAAGGAGGACGGAGCGGACTGATGAACCGATAAACTTATCTCAAAACCTAAAGATCCTGGGCTTCGGTCCCTAATGGGTGGGATTATGGATGTGTACTGCTGAAGAGTCCCAAACTAGGGTGAATCAACTGTCCAGTAGTAGTAGTAGTACTCCCTGTTGGTTTTCATTGATTCTCTTACTTGATGTCATTTTGTAATCGGACATTAAAATCAATCAAATCCGCGCATTCAGTCTTTATTTGACTGAGTAGTATTCAGCTATCATTTCAAAAAGTTTATTAATATATATTATGTGTAAAACTTGGGCACTGTGGTAGCAAATAATTCCATATTAGTTTGTTTATTAGATGCATTACACAGTCAGTGAAACAGTATTATTATTTACTGGATGACATAGTTTCGAACAAAATTTACTGCTGTTCATAATCATTTCATCAATTATAATCACACGACTTCGAAAATTTTGGTTTTATAGTTTTCTTTATTCTCTCCTATTTGTCGTCGTTAAGGTAGTTGAATTTTCCAGATATTCGACTGGACAAGTGTTGAATCATTCCTATTACACGTATTCACTGTCAGTAGGTTCGATAAACAAAGTTTCTGTTATCAATCTTTCCCTCCACCATGTTACATTATATTTTAAAAGTGTCATTTTATCCCATCCAGACTATTGTATGGTTGTGTGTCACTGCATGTAGTGCTATAGCTGAACTATTCTCTAGATTTCTTATCTTATTCGGGTCAACCAATCTAGATTTTGCTGGTAGGTTTTTATGCTCGGCTAGTCTGACTGACTGTCCCTGTTCTACGCTTTGACCTATGTATTTGACCTGACAATCATTGTAGACAGGGTATTAGATAAACTAAATTGTTTTGTTTTCAAGGCTCCACTGGCAGGATCCTTTAACCGACAAAGCTTGTTTCTAATTGTGTTTGTGGTGGTTTGAATGCCAGCCACTCTTATTCCTGCCTTTTTAAGAATTCTGCATCAGGTTTCCGAGGTTCCTTCCTTGTATGGAATTGCTACTGATGGCTTAGATTCCTTATTGTTGGTGTCGTCGAGAATATTATTATTGTCATCACTATTATTATTATTATTAGCATTATTAGTGTTATTATTACTACTATCGCTAATATCATTATTTATTTTATTTTTACATTTCATTACATATTTCCTGCCTAATTTATCCTGATAATTATTAAGTTCCAAGGCTTCTACTACTTAGTTTTTGTGCTTTATTATTTAAACATTTCACCAATCCTATTTTTACTGACATAGGATGGGATGATCGGAAGTCCAAATATCTGTTTGAATGTGTGTGTGGGTTTTCTGTAAACACTAGTGTCCTTAACTTCCCATTTTCTTTCCTTTTTACGCTGCAATCTAACATTGGAAGCTCCCCTTCCTGACTTTCCAATTCATAAGTGAATTGAATCGCATCCACCTTTGAGTTGATGTGTTCGAAAAATCTATCTATATCTTGTGTTCTAAATACAGTAAATGTGTCATCTACATACCACCACCATATTTTTCGAGTGAGGCTGAATGTTTCAATCGCTATGTTTTCCCACCTATCCATGAATATATCTGCTACAATCGGGGATATTGGTGACCCCATGGCAACTCCCTCAGTTTGTTCGTATATTTTCGCTTGGAATTTAAACACTATGGAAATCAGGCACAGCTGCACTTCCAGCATTATGTCCTCAATTGGTACTTTCGTCCTAAGTTCGAGTTCTTGGTCAGAAATGAGTTCGTTTCTGACTGCCTATATAGACATATCCAGTAAATAATACTGTTTTACTGTGTGATACATCTAATAAACAAACTAATATGAAAAAAGTTTATTAGCCAAATACCGTAGGAGTTAACTTGAGTCCTCACGGTTCACGCTAACGGTACTGTTTCAGCCTACCTGTTGTTAAGACACCGACGATGTGTCTTAAGACTAATGTCCTGTTACGAACATTATTCACGTGTGAAATAAGAATGTGTGTGTGTGTGTAACCTGTGAGTCATGTTTACGTCTAGGAAAGGAATGAGGAAGGGGCATATGCGGTGCACGTACAAACAGTCTTTGGTTAGCAAACTGTTGTGTATTGTAAAATACACCGAAAATATCCATTGAGCTATGAAGAAAATAAAAGATAAATAAGTCAGCAGTGAGGAAAATTTTCCTAGTCGACTAAATCATCTTCATAGGCTGTACAGTCAGTCGTATTTAATATTCATGTATGTGACTAAATTGTCATATGGTTTTGAGCGATATAATTTATGCTCGAAACGTCATCGCGTCGTATTTATATTCACCAAAAATAACGTATAGTATTCTATTATTGAGTAATAGGCGGGTGGTAACATAATTGATATAATTACTCATAATTGGCCTCAAAAGTATAATTAAAAATTACGCTACAGTCAATGGCACAGAGGAAGAAATGGTTTGAAATTTGATAAGGTAGTTGAGTGTCCATTTAATAGGTGGGATAAGTGTGAGAAAATGTACAAAAGGAACATATGAGAGGAATAATAGTGAATTAATTATTGTTAAAAATAAAAACAAACTAATTATGAAAAATGACAGGGAACGATTAATGAAGAGATTAATACCATGGTAGAATAAAAGACTGGACAAAATTTTCCCTGTATAGAGAGTCCAAGGTTGTATTGACGAATCGTCAGCGCCTCTATCATACAGAAATGCCAAAGCTTAACGCCCATTTTACCATTCAGTCTCACCTTGTAGATAATCTTAAAAGACGACTCTAGTGGAGCTGCTTGGCTTGAGTTCACCAAGTGCTTGAGAATTCAGCTACTAACTGTATTGCATTGTCCTTTTGCTAATCATATCGGATAATATTCAGAGATGCGTTTAGTAAGTTTGCATTTTGTCCGGTCAATATTAACTTACTCCACAGGAACAAGTGAATTTATAAACACACCTTGTAAAGTGGCCCAAAGTGGCAGTTCACCTTTTACACATCCGTTGATCATTTGTCGACTGTAGAAATTTATCCCCGTAGCGCAGCTGAAAAGAAGGTGATCTGGATAACCAGCGGTCAGATCAGATGTTGTATATAGAATTTTGAAGTACTTTTCAGATGGTGAGTGTCGCGAGTTCATCAAATATTCAGTTACCAAGCTATAGACACACTCCTTTTGCTGATCAGGCTTGATAGTGTTCCTGAGAGTGTTTTAAGAACGGACGTATACTACAGTCAATTTACTCAGCTTTGTAACAGCAAGTAAAATTGGTAGAAGTTAAAATTCATGGACTGGCCATTGAATCAGGTCCCACTGATTGAATGTTATACGAGCCAACTTGCCTTGTAACCAGAAGGTCCTGGGTTCGAACCCTGTTGGTGGGTGCGTGCTGCTGATGATTCCCAAGTTAGGACGAAACATCTGTCCAGTATTCCCTGTGGCTGGTTTTCAATGGTTCTCTAACTGATATTAATCCGTGATCAACTCGTAAAAAAATAAATGTATGTTGATGTGATCCAGTGCGATGGCTTGTCCTTCGTAGGCTAGCGGTAAAGTATATTCTACTGAGAAATGTCATTGGAAAGAAGATTTCCTCTGTTGCAACCATCTTTTTAATTATTATTATTATTATTGTTATTGCCAATGATTTAGTGTGTTTGTTTTTCTATTGTTCATTTTTAGCTTCGTCCAACTTCAATCGAGAAGGAGATATTCCCAGGGATGGCAGAAAATAAACAACTCTATTGTATCACATTATCAGGTAGAGCCATATATATTCTATGCAAAACAATAACATTGAATATATATAGGTGTATATTTAAAATATGACTTAACTAATATTAATGCCTAGTCTGCGAATAAGAGTGACATCGATGGAGAGGGTTCTGTAAGGAAGAAATGAGAGTTAGTGGGCAGTCATGAAGCCGGATGATAAAATGCAAAGTCCTCTGAACACCTTGGGGAGCAACAACACTCAACGCCTAACCTCAATATTGCTCACCTTATTATACCACTTCACACGGGAAATAAAACAGGCATCTATGATCAAAGACAGCTAGCTGGCATTTTCATGACTTTCACTCTCAATGGCCAGGTCTCACATCCATAAAGGAGGATGGGGTGGACTGCTGAGCAACACTTTCGCCCTTTGGTCGATAACCAGCCGGATATCACGTCTATGCTAGAGGCGGCCTAGAGTATAGGGGGCTTCAAGCCTCTTGAGCTTTGATGTTTCAATAACAAGGATGTTATTCTTTTTACAGTATGGAGTTCCATTTACCAACCTTACTTATCAGCCAAGAGAGGTTAAGGAGTTCATCGATCGGGTGTCAAACCACACACCACATACACCCAGTTGGGTGAGTATTCTACCAATAAGCCGCAGATACTGATGCACAATAATTCATATATTTCAACTTTAATTCTGTTGACTAAAGTATCCGTCTAAACTGAGAAATAATCTTGATATGTAATTGTAAAGCTTAGTTAATTAAAGCTCAATTACTGGGCTGTAAAACACATTTATTGCGTGTGTGTGTGTGTGGTGGTGGTTGTGTTGGGATTAATGGCACTACCTAGTTGCGCTCAGGTGGTCGAAGTAGGCGTAATGAGACTCGAACCCGTGCCCAATTGTTGACTGAAAGTCGAGAGCTTAGACAAATGCTGCACTACATCTTCACAATTGTAAAGCTTGAAAGGGAATTATTAATTTAGAAAAATATTCTTAATCATTGAAGGCTTGTTTATAAGCATGCATTAATGCCACCTTCTCTCTCTCTCTCTCTCTGTGTATATCTCTCCTATGTCCTTCTTATATTCTAAAGCTCTTTCTTTTTAAAACTTCATCTTTTCTTATTTAGGTTTTTGGATGGATGTTGGACAACCAAATGATTTTTTAAAAGGTACAAATCTATACCTGAATTATTTGAAACAATCCAATAATGTCAAAGAACTTGCAACTGGAGATAATATTCAAGGAAGTGTTATCATAGTATGTGAATAGTCTGTTAATTTGTGATTCTTGTTGTGTGTGTGTGTGTGTGTGTGTGTGTGTGCGTGGGCGCGTCTGTGTGTTCCTTTAATTTCTGTGTTTATTTTGATGATGGTTATGGTAAGAATTGTTAGCGGAAGTGGAGCAAAGATAAGAATAATAGTAATACAAAGGTTGTTCTACTTTTCGCGGACTTTGAAAGTTATTTCACCAACAGTAAAGAATAGACACCACGGCGAAATAACCTTCAGCCAGCCAATCAATCGCTGTGTATTACAAATCGATGTTTTTCATAATCTTCTTCGCAAGTTTCACTTCAACCCTTAATCAATATAACCCTACCTTGAACTTACCGTAACCTTAACCCTGAATCAGGATGAAACTTGTAACGAAGATTATGAAAAGCATGTATGTTTAATGCTCAACTATCTGATTAGTTGGTTCAAGGTCATTTGATTGTGTTGTTTATTCTTCTTAGATGGCAGTTATGCGTTTTGTTTTATTTTATTGAATTTTTCCGTTATTTGTTTACATCACCTCGAAAAGATCAAACTTCTGGCTTATAAACTGTAAGGTATGCAATTGCTACTATGGTATCTTAGTGGGACACAGGTGGATGCAGATGATGAGTCCTACATTGGACGAAATGCCCATTGTGGGTTTCATTACCTATCCAGTGATATGTATTTGTGTGTTTGTATGAGTTTAACCATCGACGACTGATGTATATTTTTGTAAAATTATTAGTGCCCTTGTGGTTCAGTGATAGAATGCTGTCCAACACGTATGTGTTACAAAACTCCATTTCCTAACTGATGACACTTCTGAATCCCGTAATGAAAAAAGATTTGGAGTTTGGGCCCGACCCCCCCCCCCTCTATATTCCACTCGGACTCGAAATGAAAGGCGAAAAGTTATCATCTTTTTCCACATCGAGTACTAGGTAAGAAGAGGAAATCAATCAACGAGACTGTGAAGCTACATCGACTGAGATGGTTAGAACGTGTGTTACGTATGCCTAGTCATCGCCTTCTTCGACCAACAGGCAATGTTAGCTGACATTGGGTCAGACTGGAAAAGAGCCAGCAGCGGTCAAACCAAAATATGGCTTCACCGGTCAATGAACTTCACAACAGTTAGTGTAAACCACGTAAGAAGGTAGGTGTTGGCTTCCTGACTGATTGGGGTCCTCAGGACGGGAAAAACTAATGAAGGCTGGAGACAATGGGTGATATGGCTCAAACCGTTCTCATTGACTGGCTCAGATGCATCCACTCCTTGTGATTTATAATACCCAATAAAACTCTATTGTTCTTCGTTATTACTATTCCTTTTGTCTCATATCTCTGTCTACTGTTTCCATTTTGCATTCCTTTTTACTTTCTTCGTTTGCTCTGTGTGTGACTCGAAATGATGCTGCACATGGGTTCAAAGTTCTAAGTTGAAAACAGACAGACATCGAGATAATTATGGTGGTTTATTTAACTGAATCCTGGTTAGCTAAATGCATTAATATTTCAAATGACAAATATTTGTTAGGAGGGAAAGTGTAATTCGATTGAAAATCGGCTTTCTTCATCATCCAGAATATGATTTGAGGTGAATACACGTATACACCATTTGAGTTATGTCACCGATAGTCTGTAGCAGGGTATTCTCAGTGCCAGTCTAACCAACGTCGCTCAAACCAGTGGTTAACGGTTTTATTGCTTGACTTTATATTTTCGTCTGACTACCAATAACACTTTTCCGATCAAACTGTATTTTAGTTGACTTTACTCGTCACGGAAAGAAGTGATTCAACACGCCTAACACGTATTATATCAGCCATCTCAGTCTATGTAACTCCACAACTTTCACTCCTTACCTCATCACTTGATGTCTGTCTGACCTCATTCCTGCACAGTATATTGTTCTGTTCAACAGAGGTATCCATAGTCGAAAACTGTTAATTTCATCCTACCTTCTATTTTCTTTGGCTATGTCTCACTTCTTCACGGTACGCAAGTCATCTCATGGATAGTTGGATATCACGCCTGCACTAAAGACGACGCAGTTAGTTTGGTAGTTTTATTGTGATTAGATTTTGTCAGTGACGACAGAACTCCCTCCCTTTCTACTCTTATTAAACTAGGAGTTTTTACATGTCAGTCCTGTAATACCATCTTACATGTGTAAAAGGGAACTACTAATATATTCATTTTCCTGATGATATTGGGTAGTTGGAGACAATCGGCCACAGGAAGCCTTGCCTGACCTAGGTTTCGTGCTAGTTGGCACTCACTAGTCAAAAAGGCGTCGTATCTGCAACCTTGAAGGAACTCATATCCCTTTTGAGATTCATACCCGCGTCACCTAGTGCTACCTGCAGTCAGAGACGAAGTTACCTCTGAGCTATTCGGGCTCAGGATTGACTTCACATGAGACTATGAGATATTTTTGATTCGACACTAGTCGGTAATCATTGTGATGTATCTAGTCCTTTGTTTCCTTGCACACTGAATTCTATCAGTCAGGTTTGCTATGTGGCCACCACTTTAGGTGGCTCGCCATCGTGAACCGAATAGCTCAGTGTAACGTCTGTGACTGCAGCACTGGTGGTGACGTGGGTTCGAATCTCAGAAGGGACATGAGTTCCTTCAAGGTTGCAGATACGCCTTGCTGACTAGTGGGGTGCCAACTAGCACGAAACCTATATCCAAGGCTTCCTATGGCCGATTGCCTCCAACTATCTAATATCATCGAATGAAAGTGCACCATGATGGCGAGCTACCTAGTGACATGGTGGCCACTTTGCAAACCTAACTGACTGATAGAATTCAGTCTGTACGAAAGAAAGGACTAGACACGTCACACTAGTTACTAGTATCCAATGAAAATATTCATTTTTGCTACTTGGTGTTTAGAATGCTTCATTATATCAGTATCATCACTTTTAAGTGCAATGCCATCTATGTACTGTGGATCAACGGTGCTTCTCTCTGTTTTAAGTCAATTCTTGAGTCGACTGGATGTTACATTCACCAGCACCTTCCCAATGGAGTCGAAGAAGATTGGTGCCAATTAGCATCCCAGATGCACAATGAATACTGGTTGTCATCACTTCTAATTACACAGCTCTCCATAACTTCTCACATGACTGGTTGAGTTAAGGTGGAGTTCAGTAAAATAACTGAGATATTCTCTATTGGAACTTTGTTTTCACTGTCAGGTATTTCTGCAACATCTTCCGATCAACAACTGGACAAGATATGTCACCTTCAGGTGAAAATATTTGGCTTAGCTAGTTTTGGACATCATCATTATACGCATGCCTGTGTTTCAGGACACATGTCAAAAGATAACGATATAATCAATACTCTACGGTCCAGTCTTGTTTCTTCTGAACCCCAGTTGATCATAAGTGTCATTATTATCCAAGCTATCACTTCTGTGATTATCACAGTATAGGATTTATTTCCTTTCTCACGAATTGGGATGATCAACAATCTGCACCAGTCTAATTGAACTGTGTCGGCTATTTTTTTTTATAAACTACCTCGTATCATAGTTAAATATTTCATCATCCTTGAATGCCGTTGTAGTTGAACCTAATTTTCGTTTGAAAGAGACACCTTATTCTTGATGTAGTTGAATAGTGTGCAATAGTCGTTTGGCAGTATATCAGTTGAAATGCTTTGCGTTACATATTTTAGCTGTTTCTTCTGGGGGTGGGGAGGAGGTTAATCATCACGGGCTTATTACCCTTCGCTGAAATTGTTTCTCATGATAACATTGTGAGGGCCTATCGCCTCAGCAAACTTAAATACCTTATTTCCAAATGTTTTTGACTTACAAGAACCTGATTAGTCACAGGTTTAACATCAGTTCAAGAACCATTGAAAACTAGCTGGGAGTACTACTAGGCAGTTATTTCGTCCTTGTTTGGGACTCTTCATCAGTCTGCACCCACTGGGACTGGAACCCAGGACCTTCTGGTTACAAGGTGAGCTTGTAGGTCATTCAGCCACTGGAACCCTTATTCTCCAGTCTCCTGAAAATTCCCCAGGCAACATCACTGGGGAGTAACTCTCCATTTATCTAACTTGGTGATGGACCATGCTGGTCACATCTTTTTCATTAGAACTCCAAGTAACTTCGCGTATAGGACCAGTCGCTAGTGAGCATCAGGTTATTTATCAAGTGTTAGTTTGCAGGGATTTGATTGGTCACGAGTTGACATGAGTTAAGAAACCATTGAATAATCAACTGGAGAGAGTACTGGACAGCTGTTTCATCGGCCTAGTTTGGGACTCTTTACCCACCGGGTTCGAACCCAGGGCTTTATTGGGGTTTACGCCTCTTCTTTCTTAGTCACATGTTTGTATGTCTCATTTACCTAGCTGAGTATCATCCTTGTGAAATTCACTGATTTGTCTTTATTTTTTATTTTTTCCAAGGTAGCTAATAATTCAGTCTCATAATATTTATTTTCTTCATAAAAACTTGTTTTTAATCTCATTGTAGCATCCTACAGCTGTAGTTTCGCCTACTTGTGTTCTTGGACCAAGTGTTGTTATCGGAGCAGATTGTGTTGTAGGCGATGGTGTTCGTATTCGTAATTCTACTCTACTTCAAGGAAGTGTTATTAATGCTCATTCTTGGATAGAAAATTGTATTGTCGGTTGGCGGTGTATTATTGGACAGTGGGTAGGTGGTGGTTTATCGTTATAAGTGTTTATTCGCTTTCTTTTTGAATTAGTTTGAAC